TTTTGAGTTCATAATACAGTAATAGTGGTATTCAGCTTTCTATAATACTGGTAACCACAATTTGATACAATGGGAAATAGTAGTGCATATAATTATTAAAAATAACTTCTATTTTACCTAGTTAAAACTAAAACCTATGTTTGGAGCCAAAGGTTCTTAGAGAATGTGATGCACTTGTTGAATGCCTTTTAAAAAACATTTCTAATGATCAACCAGTTCTGTTCTTTGAAAAAAAAACTCATTTAATATCCTGATCTACCATAGTTTCTCTTCACTACATGTTGCTGTGTCACTTGGTAGCCTGAAATAGTCCTTAAGTGGTCGCAAATTTGCAGTCACAAGTATACTTATCTATATCAGTGCATATGTAGTCAAATATGTGTCTAAAACAAAGGAATAATATCTCTGAAGCATAATATATTTTAAAAGAACATTTTTAGTGAACTCTAGCTTATGGTAAAATGGCCTGTCATCAAAGGATCATCATCTGAACTGACCTGACTGGCAAATGTGTGAGATGTACATTATATTAGGTACACTGTGCATTTTTTATTCTCATGTCTTTTCTACATTAAGGTAAATTCCTTGAGCTGTGATAGCACCCTCAGGTCATTTCTTGGTATAAACTTAAAATCTATTTTCTCTCGACAAAACTGTAACATATAAGAAATGAAAATGAATTTTCCTTCCTCTATGTATAAGATTCACCATCAATCTTTGAAACATATTCTCAAGTAGGTAGTAGATAACGTGCCATAAATTCTCTTTTAGAAAGACTGTGATGGACTTAAACAAGCTTTGTCTTTATTCTTCTTAAGGAAAACATCTTCTCAGCTAACTGTCTACATCTTTAAAAGCCTTTGATTTATTTTGTATCCAAAGTCCTATGTTATTCTTAAGTCTAAAAAGCAAAACTACAATTTTCAAAACAGCATTCCTTTTGGAGTAAATATTGGTTGACAAGGACCAAGTTAAGCACAATGTGACATTTTCTTGCAGAAGCATCTGGGATCTGGGAAAGGCACCAGTTCGATCCTGTGTGGGGACAAACTGCTCTTTCTAGAGGCAACCCTCTGTCTTTTCAGGGCACAGGTGGAGAAGAGGAGCTTCCCACTTGCTCCTTTACTCACCAAGGCAGCACTAGGGAGGTGCTAAGGGAAGGAAGTCTGGAGACTTCCTTACATCCTCTTCCCTCCTCACTCTACCTGT